TTGCCTGTCTGACATCTTATCACCGCTGAACAATAAATAGGTGTGAATATTTTTAGGCATGTTGTCGAAACAAAGAATAGGATTAGGAACAATGCCGTTTTGGAACAGCTGGTTTAAACAATGAAGACAGTCACGGTCTTGATGAATTGGGGGTGCGGTTAGTAATAGGTACTTTTCAAGTTTTCAATTTTTGTTAAGAACTCTTTAACCCCGAAGCCGGGAATTGGGGGTGCGGTTACTATTACGTATGCGGTTTATATTATGACTTTAACGGTACATGTTCGGATCAAAATTTTGGAAACATTATTGAAACATAATATATGTTTAAAACTTGTGAATGGTGCTATAAGTTGACTTTGGCGCTTAAAGAGATAATGTTGATTCAAACAAACGTAATAAGTTTTGACGAACTCAACTGCAATTTCATTAGCATGAACAAGTTATTGAACTTATTGAACAAGATATCTGATGAGTTATGAGCAGAAAGACTACATTTTATTCAATACAAGTAAGCATTAGATTCTTTAGTTGCAGTGTACAACCCTTCCCCATACATATGCTTACACAGAGGTCCTCAACACACTCACATCTATAAACTGAACAATGTCTAAACTGAAAACCTTTTCCAACCCTTCCCCATACATATGCATACACAGAGGTCGTCCACACACTCACCTCTATAAACTGAACAATGTCTAAACTTAAAACCTTTTCCAACCCTCCCCATAGATATGCTTACAGAGGTCCTCCACACACTCACCTCTATAAACTGAACAATGTCTAAACTGAAAACCTTTTCCAACCTTTCTCTATAGATATGCTTACAGAGGTCCTCAACACACTCACCTCTATAAACTGAACAATGTCTAAACTGAAAACCTTTTCCAACCTTTCTCTATAGATATGCTTACAGAGGTCCTCAACACACTCACCTCTATAAACTGAACAATGTCTAAACTTAAAACCTTTTCCAACCCTCCCCCATACATATGCTTACACAGAGGTCCTCCACACACTCACCTCTATAAACTGAACAATGTCTAAACTTAAAACCTTTTCCAACCCTCCCCATAGATATGCTTACAGAGGTCCTCCACACACTCACCTCTATAAACTGAACAATGTCTAAACGGAAAACCTTTTCCAACCTTTCTCTATAGATATGCTTACAGAGGTCCTCAACACACTCACATCTATAAACTGAACATTGTCTAAACTGAAAACCTTTTCCAACCCTTCCCCATACATATGCATACACAGAGGTCATCAACACACTCACCTCTATAAACTGAACAATGTCTAAACTGAAAACCTTTTCCAACCCTTCCCCATAGATATGCATACACAGAGGTCGTCCACACACTCACCTCTATAAACTGAA